CCAGAAGAATGAAAATCGTAAAACACGAGCGCGTTTAACCATAGGATTCAAGAGATTTTCATATTTCAAGAGCCAGTAATCGCTGTTTGGACTATCGAGTATACTCATAAATTTCATTTTTAATGGGCATTAATTTGATATATAATACTCTGTGATATCATTTGTAGTTTGAGCTATACCCCCCTTGAAAAACATTTTTTCCGACTCTGTACACTCCATTCGGATGGCACGTATTCTGGTCCAATTTCACTCGTCAACAATCAATATTCAAACGACTTAGAAGATTTATCGTATTCACCGGCTGATGGTGTATGGGAATGTCCCAGTGTAAACAAAATTGTTATCAAAGGCCACTTTTTTCCTACTAAACATTGGCTCAACCATGTGCAAATTATGTCGGGCAATCGATCTATCATCTCGACATTGATCATAAGCGAGTTTCTGGCATTTTTCAGTATGGGCTTTACAAACTAGATTCTCTATTGATGAATAAACACAGTCGTGCACCTATAGCCAAACAGGCATGGGCGAGTCCGAGCGAAGTCCGAGTCCTTAAAAAGTCAAGCCGAGTCCAAGTCCGAGTCCTTGACATTAAGGACCGAGTCCAAGTCCGAGTCCTTGACATTAAGGACCGAGTCCAAGTCCCGAGTCCATTTCGAGTCCGGTAATTTTTTAGATTCTTTCTTTGATGGGTGTGGTTTATTTCTCTTTTATAATTTACTGAGCCCTGGATAGATATTTGATTTGTCGAAAATAAGATTACTTTGCATGTCTATTTCCTGAACAAAATTTTCAATTTCTTGTGAAACAGAAGGTGTTATTATTTCGCTTTTCATTTTTCTCTGCTCATTTGTGTTGAAAGTTGAATAGATCGGATTCGAAATACAAAAACTCAAGTCCGAGTCCGAGTGCTTTAAAAAAATCTCCAGTCCGAGTCCGAGTCCAAGTCCGAGTCCGCCAAAAAATCTTCCAGTCCGGACTCGGACTCGCCCATGCCTGTAGCCAAATTGTTGACTTATCCTGTAGTTGGTGTCAAACTGCACGAATTATGCAATAATAAGTAATACTAGATGAATGAGGAGAAAGAAAAAAATGACAAAACTAAATCAAATATTTATTGGCGACAAACGCTGCTTTCAATTTTTATTCTTAAGTTAAAAATTGATGTAAAAAAAAAAAGTTAATGTCCGCCTGCTCTAGCGAAAAATGCCCACTGTGCGAACGATAGACAATTTAATTCTCTACAAGATTGTATATTCATTTTTAAGATTTATCTTTGATGTTTAACACAGTAAGCTAACAGAAAAAGCTCCAGATTTTTTAAATTCCACTTGAACAAATCGATTTCACCAGCATGAGCAACTCTGATAAGAATAGAACGAATTCTCTTTTCCATGGTACGCATTCAATTCTCAAAGCACATTAGTTCGTACGTACCGAAACAATATTTAGAACTACAATACTTTATGTATATTTCGAAAAACAAGTGCCAATGAGCCACTGCCACATGTGAGGCTTCTCGGAAGATTTAAAGTATAATAGCTGGAAACTTGAATTTTATATCATTGATGTAAAAAGACTATGGCATGTCTTTTGAGATAAACTCGGCTTCTCCAGCATGTTTTCTTTTCTGGAAAACTTGGTTTTTCTTCTGACCCAGGATTCCCGACGAGTGAGCCAGCTTACGGATGGGCGGGGCTAAAAATTTAGCTTTCAGAAAGTGGCTGCTGAAAAAACGTTTTAGAAATTTTTGGCAGAAAGTTGCTGGTAGAAAAACGTCAAAAATTTTGCCAGAAAGTCAAAAAAAATTTCCACAGCGAGCTGCCCCCTCTCCCGATCGGGAATCCTGCTCTGGCCACGCTAGAACCCCATTTTCTTTGTCCGATTGACTTCAGATTTTTATCACCGGTACTCAAGGTCTTATCTGAAGGCTTATTTTTTGGATTTTTGTTTGTTTCACTTTGTTTTCGAATTATAGCAAAAATACTGAATAACTTATTAGAAGCCTGATTTTCTAATTTTTTGAAAATCCTGTAACTCAGAAAGTGACAAGATCTCAAAACTAGATCTTCAGATAAGGTCTTGTATACCTCTGGTAAAAGTTTAAAGTCAATCCACAGACAGTGGAACGTTTCAGAACCAGGAGAGTCTCACGAGACATTACAGTCCTCTCTAGTATGAATTTTCTCAGTGTCGTCCAAATTTTTTACTCAAAAAATCACAGAATATATTAAAAATTTCCAAAAAACGTCCATCAAGTATCATTAGTTAAGGTGACTTTCCGGCATATTTCGATATCATCGTGACTTTGAGTCTTTCTTTTAACTTTAACTTTTAAGTGCTATAAAAACATAGTTTAATCGAGTTTGTTTCGTATTGATCGCAGATAATCCTTCAATCGGCTGTTAACCCTTTGATTCCGTGTATTTTTGGAAAGGTACAAAAATTTTGATTTTTTTCATATAAGTCTGAAATAGGGTGGTATACGTCAAGGGAAAACAGCGAATTCCAAGAGGCTTCATGAAAGTCCATAAGATTCTGGAATTGCACAGTCAAGTAGAATAGCTCAAAATCTAATGGAATCCTGCGCGTAGTTACATAGAGAACCTTGGAGTCCTGTATTATAATATAGATCTATAAAATATGACGTCTGATTGTCTTTGGGACCAGAGCTTTAGCCGTAACTACAACTCCATGGAGCAACAATTGTTGTGGGATTATATGCGATTTTACAGAATTTTGTTTGGTTTCATGCGACTCTAAAAGACTTCGGGTTTAGACATTTCATAGATTCCTGTATACTTCCAAATCCAAAATTCCTTGTTTCACTCTTGATATACATGCATAGTGGAGCCACACGATGATGCTTTGATACTAGCAACAGAAGGCAAAGAGTGAAGACTCTTATGGCCTAGGCAAGCTAAAAGATCATAAAGTTATAATTTGTGCAAAAGCTCAAAACGTATACATGTAACCAAAGAGTAAAGTGAGATGTCCTGTGTGATTGCGTTTTAAATCCACCACATATGTAATTGTATAATCCTATCCGCCAGGAAGAAAGAAGTAAAATCAAGAGCATAACTAAAGTTCTTGAAAACCGTATGCTTTTGGAATGCTTTAATTCCAAAATCAGGACAGACTCAAGCCTGTCGAGCTTACTGACTCCGCCGCCTATAAGTTAATTGGATGGAATTTAAGGGGGAGTTGTAATGTAGCCAGATTGAGCCCACTGGAAAAAAACTTCACGAAAAACGCGCAAAAAACTAAGTTTTGGAAGATAGAAGACGCATTTTCTGGAAAAGTCGCTTAGGCACATGAAAGAAAATATATTTTAAAGTAATAAAAAAGCAATGTTTTTTTCATTCGGAGTGGGATACTCCTAACTATTTTATTGCTTCTTTTTGAAATCGGAGATAGAATTTATTTTCTCCTTTAAGTGTTCCTAATGTCTTTTTGTGCTATATTATCAGCTAATAACCCGTTACAATGAATTTACTTTAATAATAAGCAACATATTTTTGAAAGTTTTGGAAGAAAAATAATGGATCTTGCGAATGGCTTGAATGAAAGATCGTAGATTAAATCACTTAAACAAAACTTCAGCACATTCGCCTAAACAACTGTTACACTTGAACATTCATTTGGTCATGATATCGCAACCATCAGAAGTCATCTGTTGTGCAACCTTTGATAGATGCGTAAACTCAATTTTGTTCACTGAACGTAATTGCCTCCCCTTACCCGGATGCAACGTTTTGTTTTATAATGTTTTCTATTTATCTAAATGTTTTTTTATGTTGTTTATTGAATAAAAAGATATAGATAGAGAGAATGCCAACAAAAGGAAGGAAAGAAATTTTTTTGCTGATTATAATTTTCCACACAACAAAAAAAAGAGAAGTTGCGAGTAAGAATAAAGAAATAAAATGTTTTTTTGTGTGTATGTGTGTGTGTGAACATATAAACTGAAAAGCAGAAAACAAAAATGCTAAATTTCACATGGGTGTATAGAGACGAAGGTCAAATTGGGTTGTTTAAGACGATTGTCATTTGGAAATACATTTAGGAATGTTAAATTTTTTTTTGTTTAACAAAAAACGAAAATGAAAAATAACAACAACAAGAAGCACACATCAACATTTTCTTTTTTAATAGTATAGTTTTTGACTAGCATAATAGCTCATTAGCAGACATTTCAGGCTTAATTCTCAGTGACGACGCAGAATGTTCCTATACAACAACAACACCGAAAATTAGAGAAACAGCGAGATTGTAAATGACACGTTAGAGAAAAGAAAGAAGAGAAGTGTTTTACAGTAAAAAGAAGTGATTAAGCATATGAACACACACACACACATATACACACGTCTTTTAAACATGAGAAAAAAACTGAAGAGATATTTTTGTTTTGATAAATTTTCTGTTTGCAAACAGTTTCTTAAAATATTCGTCTCGTCAAAAATATTGTACTACTAATGTTTATCTTCATCTTCAACATCTTGAACATCATGTTGACCACCTTCTTCACCTAAAACGATTGTTCCGCAAATTAATCACATGATATGTAGACAAAGTTCGAAGTTGCGCTAGAGATACTACTGAGATAAATTTAGTATTATATCACGTTAGAGGTAGTCGCTGATTGTTGTGAGGAAACCTTACCCAAACAAAGACCTCACAAAATCACTTCGGTAAATAATCATTGTTCTCTTATCTCCGTCGTTTCACAAAATGTTACCTCATGTTTTCTCTATATCGACAATGAATTAGGTCGATCTGATTCCCACAACGTGGCAGATGATAGATCTCACCATTTAAGCGATACTCTAACCCAGATGAAATCTGAAAAGCAAAAATTTTCAAATGGGTCAAAATGTAATTACGTATACTATCAGCGGATGATTAAAAAAAATGATAACATGATTTCAGACAGAAAACGAGCCTGTACTGACTGAAGTGTAAGGTAGGTGTTCTGCTCAAATATAAATGAGTTAGATGAGATATATTGCTGACCATAACAGACAATTAGAACTAATCACACGCACACATACCAGGCATATCTGTTGTCCATAATGTTAAATTATCTCGTAATAATTGCATAATTAATGTTGAATCTTTGTATGTATCTTCATTCAATGTATCTAATTCAGCAATTGCATCATCAAATGCCTAAAAACAAATCTAATGTTATTATTTTTCTAAACAAAGAAAGCTATCTCACCTGTTTTGCTAGACGACAAGCACGTTCCGGTGTATTCAGTATTTCATAGTAGAAAACACTAAAACGTGAAAAGAAATATGCAGAATAACATCTTTTTTACGGGTTTTTTTTGTTTATCTGAAACATTGACTTACCTAAAATTTAATGCCAAACCAAGTCTGATTGGATGCGTTGGAGGTAATTCATTTTGTGCAATATCATGGGCTTTTGTATAAGCAACCAAACTATTTTCAGCTGCTTCTTTACGATCATCATTTGTCGCAAATTCAGCTTTATAACGATGATAATCACCCTTCCTAAAAACAAACATACAAATTAGATGTTTAGATTTTGCTCTTGTTTATAGTTCTTTTTTTCTACTTCTTGCTATTCAATTTAGCTCAATCAGTTTTTTTCTATCATTCATTCTATTTTCCTCTAAAACATAGTGTAACTCACACTTACATTTTCAAATAGAAAACTTTTGATTCACCAGTTGTTGCGTTTGGTAAGAGATGTTTATCAAGCAAATCCAGTATATCTTGACAAATATCACGTAATTCTTTCTCAACCTATACATGAAAGAAGCGTTTATACAAACTTATTTTAATTTTTGACAATTCTGTATAAGAACCTGAGATCGATATTTTTTAATAAGTGCCATTTTACCATTTTCTGATTTGCTCTCTTCTTTACTTTCAATATTTGTTATTATTCGCCAACTAAAATACGAAAAAAATTGTATAAGTTATTCTGGAAGAGTCAAACACTTTTCGTGACAGAACATCACATGGATGTGATCTAATAGTTAATGTTTTACAAAGCTTAACGCCGCATATGTTTAAAGGTAATCAAGAACAAATATCATCACAAATTACTTGTTAACTGCAGTAAAATTATACCAATAAAAAGTCAAAGAGATTTTTTTACATGGATCGAATAGATCGCATGTTCTGCTCGTATTGGTATGGAATATGGAAGAGATAATTTAACAGAATTGAATAAAAGAATGCTGACTTGATATTGAAGAAAATAAAATTCATAAGTTGTTTTCTGCAACAGCAAACAATAAAGATTTAATGCGCTAAAACTAAGACTGAAAAAAAATCTCTAATGACTTTGCTTACTTACCTAGCACGTCGTGCACCAATCAAATTTTTATATGCAACTGACAATAAATTTCTTTCTTCGACACTCAGCTCAACATCAGCCGCAGCAACCTTTTTCATTGAATCAACCATTTCTTAACAAAGGAAAAATTAACACTATGAGAAACGAACATAAACAAAATAATAAACAAACCTTCATAACGTTCAGCTTGTTCAGCTAGTTTCGCTTGATAAACATCATCTTCTCTTGACGGTGCCATTTTTAATTACTATTTTATATATTCAAGAAATTTAAATTAATTTTAATAAAATCAAGATTTTTGTTCTGCTTTGTCTGATGTCGTCAATTCTATTTTCTGTAACAGAGAACAAATGTCATACCACCAGCAAATAAAGACCAAGCAACATACAGAGAAAAAAGCGTCCATATGTCGATCGTAGCTATAAACAAACCTGTCACGCTATACTCATCTCTTATAATGGCTTTAGAGAAGATTTTGGAATACGTATTGAGAGCGAGTATTATAGACAATGATAGCAAAAAACAGACAGGTTTTTTGTGTACTACTGAAAGTGCATAAATATTTTAAAGTTACTTTGTCATGTATACTTGCGCCATCTAAGATAAATTTCCAAATTTTGGATTAATTTAGCTTTATGGATAAAGTCAAGATATTCAATTCGTTAATGAATATCTTGATGATATTTATGACAAATTAAGAATCTCATAAATATATTCAATTCGGACCATCATGTTCAGTGCCGTGGCGGGAGAAAAAAGCAGAAAGGATATAATTTTTTGGGAGAAAACCATAGAAGTATGAGACACACAACACCATCTACCATCATAATTTCAACACAATAACTGCGTGATAATGATAATGTTGACATCTATTTGAGCTTTTTTCTTCAATGAAGAAAAGTGGGAGAAAAATTTTTCTTTGAAGTATTTTGGGAGTCAAAGTGGAAGAAAGTGTGTTTTCGTTAAATATATATAAAACATGATTCATGTTTTCATCCTCTATCATTCTTCTAGTCAAGATTACGTCCACTAGTCCATGTGATCGATTTGGTTAGTGCAAGTATCAGCTTTTTATGTTTGTGCAACTTGTAATACAGCACTTCATCACTTTACTCACTTTCTCGCCATTTTAGAATTAAATTAACTACTTAATTGCAATACGTGTCGACATTTATACAATCACAAGTTACTGAATTTTCTCATATAGTAGGCGACTTGCAACAGTTAATTCTTCTTCTATATCTCAGTTCCCAGCAGACGAAAAATAAAATATCTAGTAGTTTTGGATAATCGATTGGTATTCTCAGAATTTTTTCATTTCATCACAGTATCTCGGCGTAGAAAATCGTGTTTTCTCGATGACATATGATCGGTATTTCTAACCTAACTCCGACTATAATAAAGATTTTTATAAAGTATTTTTTATTTGGTAGCCCATCAGATTATCTATCGATTCCCGAAAGAATTTTCTGAACCGTCCTTTAGGTAAAATTTGATGATCCGATCACAACTTCAATAGAGCATAAATTTTCAAACAGTTATAGATCGAAAATGAAAAGTTTTCAAGCTGTGCTTGTTTCAACCGCAAATAGAGAATAAAATTCTCTACAAGTCTGATATATTGTTGTGACTTTTTAGCATATTATTGTTGATTTTTTGTACGATCATCATTAGTGTAGCATACAGGTATAAAATATTTTGTGTTTAACATTTCTGCATTTCAAAAAAATAAATGAATGATAAAAATAAAAATTCTGAGATTGCCAATCGATTCAGCTTAGTCAATTATCCAAAACTACCAGATATTTTTTTTTCGTCTTCTAGGAGTTGAGATATCTGGTGTCGTAACGGTCTGTTCAGGAAAAAAGAGGAACGTTGAAAATTTAAGAGGAGCATTGGGTAAAAAAGAGGAAACTTTTGGCCAAAAAACGGGTAATTTTCAATGGGGTTTACGAGATTTTCAATGGGGTACAACTGAGGTACACTTCTTTTTATAATGCGGTACGTCGTTGGGATACATAACTTTCCTTCTGAAATAGAAGTTTAGTTGGGATAATTATGTATATAATATATTTCATTATTATAGATGCCTCTAAAATGATATAAACTCTACTAAAAAACATAACTTGTTTCCATTAAAAGATCAGTTTATCGCAGCACAGACTCAAAAACCCTAAATGGGGTACAAAATGTGTACCTCAGAGGTATAAAATTTTCTGGGATACGAAATGGCGAAATGGGGTACGTATGGCAACCCTGGTTCCCACAATCTAATTCGTCCGTTTTACACAATGTACATGCGAATGTTGATTCCTTAGCAGCTTGCTTTAACCATCGTCTCACAGGGACTTCATCTACTGTTTTCTGTAACCTCGAGTGATTGAATTTCGTTTCATATGACGGCAATGGTAAAAAAATATATCTAAAACTATTTTCAGATATAAAGATAGCGTGAATTATGGTATTTTTGCTAAAAGAGTCGAGAAAAAGAGGAAAATTAGCTCAAAAAGAGAGATCTTGGATTAAAGAGGAAAGAAGAGAAAACTAACGGGTGCTTCAGAATAAATCGGTCACTTAGTATTTTGCTCATATCTTAGTTGAATTTTATCTCCTAAGCTTTGTTGTTTTCTTAAAAGATATGCCGTAAAATTCTCTACAAAAACTATATTAAACATTTTTCTATCTACCGTAAAGATAAAAGAATATAGAAGAAATACTGCGAAGCTTCGATCTCGATTACTTTACAACTCAAAAAACAATATTTTAGTCCTTCAACAATTTAGTCCTTCATACTTTGTGAAACAAAAAACAAGAAGATGGACATGGAAAAGCGCTATCAAGTGTCTATATTCAAAACGTTTCGTAATCATAATCGGTTGTGGAAGAATTTATTTTTCTTTTATCGACTGTCCTCGACATCAACATTTACAAACTGTAGTTTTGGTGTAGTTAGAAAAACGTTTATAACTCGATCAAAATCAAACATTTTGAGATCGGGTTTTCTTTATCTTAAAGTAAAATAATTCTTCTGTTATATCCGTACAGAGAAAGTTCAATATTTTCCTTTGTTTTCCTGTGTCACAACGAAAAAGACAACAAAGAAATTTGTCCTTTTTTTGTTAGATTTTAGTACAATCATCTTTTGTGCCAGAAAAACACGTTTAAGCCGACCCTATGATAGACGAAAAGAAAGACGGCCCTTCAGAGCACCAGAACTTATGTTCATGATTCCACCTTTATGCATGACGCTGTGCTCAAAATATTTTTTTTCATTGTTTCTTGAATTGCAAAGTAATCGAGATTGAAGCTTCGCGGTTTTTCTTCGATATTCTTTCATCTTGGCGATATATAGAAAAATGTTTAATATAGTTTTTGTAGAGAATTTTACGGCATATCTTTTAAGAAAACAACAAAGCTTAGGGGATAAAATTCAACCAAGATATGAGCAAAATACTAAGTGACCGATTTATTCTGAAGCACCCGTTAGATGCCAGCTGCGCTCTGCGAAGATTGGAAGCCGACTCAGTGAACGCTTGTGCGAAGCAAGTAAGGTAGAAACGAAATTGTAAATATTAAGAAGAGAATCTTAACCAGAGACCAACTACCCTTCGGGAAGATTGGAAAGTCGACTGAGTGAAACGATAAACAGATGAAATTAGAAGAACTAGAAAGTCATAACTGTCTATGTATCTTCTACGGCATATTATTCTCGTTGACATATCAGCTGATTCTTTATCTTGTCTACTGTAGCTTTTATCATATCAAGCACTGTTGCATACAGGGTTCTCAGATGTCCCCCATTCGACCATTTTGTCCCCCAGTAACAACATATTTCGTCCCCACCGGCAATTTATTTGAAGTCCTACTACTCCAGCGTCATATTTGAGATGAAAAGATTGCCGGGTTATTACATAATATGCAAAGATTTATGCCCTCTTTAGCATATCTTGTCATAAAGATCATTATCATATAGGTGTTTGGATAGTTTGTAGTAAATAGAGTTATTCTGAGATTTGCGAGCCGCCCCCAAAACATCACTCTTCCTGTTGTGCGCGTCCCAGGGTTTATCAGACGTGTGATACGAATTTGTCGATAGAACCTACTTGAAAGGAAAAATCTATTGTTTGAAATTTGAAAAATTAGCTTTGAAAGAATGAACTATAAGAAGAAACGACAGTGTAATTCTAACGATAAATGGTTAAAAACTTCACAATATTGCTTTTAATTTATTTGTAATATGTGACTTTAGTTGTGCTAATCGGGTATTTTAGATTGACATGACATTATTTCGTTAAAATAAGCGTCCCCCATTTTGTCCCTCATTTGCAGCTTTCTGTCCGACATTCGAAAAAAATAATTTGAGACCCCTGGTTGCATATATTCACAATGAAAGATATCACGTGACAATTAATTATCTCATACAGAAAACGATAAAGTTCTTCAAAAAGATATGCTCATCTTCTAGGACTAATTATAGCTGAACTAATGTATACATAGGAAACTTAACCTCAGATGTGCCATCTACAACCGTCGTAGATTTGGCCGATCTTGTTCCCGACTCTCTACGATCAGTTATAACCTAGAACTAGTATCTGACTCGAGCGAGACAAACAGTATGGAAAGAAAGAAGAATTTTGCTAGATAACTCTCGGAGTGAAAAACAATAAGTCTCCCGAGTTTCACTCAGTCTACTTAAAGAACTAGATGCCAAGTGCCCTACGGGTAGATTGGAAACCCGACCGAGTGAAACGTATCTCAGAAACACTTTAGACACCGTTTGAATACGATTAGATATACGACTTACATACGATTAGAACGTTGCAGTGCTCTACTAGTCAACATATGATGCATTCTATCGGTAGTAATGTTTTAGATTATAAATGCATTAAACGATACAGAAGTGTAGACTGATAAGTAGCACGTGACTACTTAATGAATCGCTCTACACTATTCATACTGAACGTATATGAAGTGTCACGTGACAATTAATTAACTCATGAAAAAGTTATTGAAAATATGCTGAACTTTTAGGACTCATTACTTAATAATTAAGACATATATCGAAAAAATAACTTCAGCTGTTTCATCTACCTCTCTTGCACTCTCGAATGATGTTCTCAAATGTGTACCGTTAGTGATAGCTGGGAACGAGTGGCTGGCTAAAAGGAAAAGTGAGTCTAGAAGAAAGAAGAAAGAAAGAAGAATTTTTTGTAGTGGAACAGAATAAACCTCTCCGAG